TTTGCATTCTGAATTAGCAACATATTTTGAAGTATATTCCATAAAATATTTAGGATTCATGCAAAAAAGCACTATTCATCTGGTTTTCAAACTTAACAATACATAGTATACTTTTATTTGGGAAATCTGAAAACTTGTAATCTTGACATTTTAAAAAATAGGATGCAACCCTCCATTTTAGTGAGGTTACAATATGTGGCAATTACAGATTTTATGTGCCTTGCCTTTGAAAGAGAATCTTCTCTGGATTTTTTCTCTTATTTCTTTAATGAATGTCTTTTCCTAATGAAGCTAAAGAAAACCACATTTCACTGAAACCAAGAACCCAGAATTTACTTACAAAACACCTCTCTGGAGGAAGTGTGCAGGGAGTCTGCAAGCACTTTTCAAACACTTTATGGAAGATGAGTATTATGAAAAAATGCATAATTCCAAAGTGCTTGTGTCAAAATAAACTTTTGATTTCATTTTCCATGAACTTTCACTTGGAGTTATTTTAACCCCAGATCATATGTGTGCATGTCCACACGCTGCTGGCGAAGCAGTCAGGGAGGGAAGCAGTGAGACAGGGAGGAAGACAGTATGCCGCAGCTACCTTCACAGCTCTCTTGCACGTGTCCTAACTCCATGCTGGAAAGGGGCATCAGTGTGGAAGTCAGCTCATCCTTCTCCGGGCCCCATTCCTGGACGGACAGCACAGGAAAATCCTAACAATGGCCTCCTATGATGCCAGCATCCCACAAGGGCACGGGTTTGCATCTCAGCTACTTCACTTCTCATCTGGCTCACTGCTACTGAGCCTGAGAAAGCAAAGGAGAAAGGAGAATGGCCCAAGTCATTGGCACTTGTACCCGTGTGGGAGACCCTGAACAAGCTCCCAGATGTTGCCTTCAGCATCCCGAATCCCAGCTGTTGTGACCATTTGAGGAGTAAACCAGATGGACGATTTCTCTCTCTCTCTCTCTTTCTCTGCCTTTCAAATAAATAAAATAATTTCTTATTTTAAAAAGCTTTCTCTCCAGAAGCAAGCTCACTGATAGGCACGGTGTCCATGTCTCACTTCAGTGTACCTCCATGCCCGAAACCCTTCCCAGCCAAGCTGACCCCGCTCAGCAGAGGAGGCTTTGTTCTGAGTGATGCCTGCGAGACTCTGTTTTCACCATTTCCTGTTTCATTTGTACAAGGGCAGTTAGAAGCATCCAGAACTAGTATCCACCATGTTTGCAGGATCCCTTGCATTTGTTTAATTTTTTTAATGTTTCCAGTATCCTTCCCCAATATTTCCTTCCTTACACATCCTGTGTTCCACGGATTATTACAAACTAGTCAGTGAAAATCTTAAATAATGGTGTTTAATGACACTTACAGCAACAGTGGCATCAGGTGCTCAGCAGGTGGCAAGACAGTTTTCCCTGTTTTCATGCATTAATTCCGGTCTCTATCAAGAGGCCCATAAGAAATGCAGAACGTAACTGAGCATTCGAAAGCAATTAGCTTCGACAAAACAAAAGCATTATGAAAACACAGCTACTGCACCTAGGGGAAGAAGGCCATGCCCGTGGTTCAGAGAGGGATGACAAAGGGACGGGCGTCAGCTGCACGCTGCACTTCAATTTCATGCTCAGTTTCAGGATGGTTCATGTGTGGCCCTAACGCTGGCCATCAGTGCTGGACGATGACAACAAGCAGATGCTCACTCACTGCTGCCGAGCGCAGAACAAAGCTCCTCTAGCTAGAATTTAGAGCTAGCAGGTCAAAGGGCATCACACAAGCTGTATCGTAACTCCCTCTCCTGGGGCCTGAAGGTTAAGCCAGAACTCGTTCTCACTAAGAAATGAAAATCCCAAAGGACTAACAGTTCTGGCTGTTAATGTGGACACTACTTATGGGTGGAGGAAATACTTTGTGTTTTCCTGACCGCAAGGCCATCTACGTACAAGCACTGATGAAACAATGAACAGTGTTACTTAGGGCAACTTTTCTTCTCAGTATGAAAAAAAAAGCTATAATTGCAAACTTTTTAAGAAGTTATAATTAGGGATCTTAGTAACAACAGAAATCATCTGCTTGTGGCTCAGCAGCACGTAAGTAATCAAATTACAATTTCTTGCAAAATAAATCCATACAAAATAGTCATGGATCAACTTTGAGCCTGATTCAAGTGAGCCATGGCTTTGAGCATCTGTTAAATTACAGTTTCAAAAATGTATTTAGGTGTGTTCATATGTTCTTAGGATGGCACAGGCTGACATTCATTCAATGTACTGAGACAAATTTTTGAGATGCTGGGCAGGGCAGGGTGGCATAGAGAGAGTTTGGATAATGGATAGCAAATCAGTTAGACTGAAGCACTGGGTTCCTATGGTTACACAGGATAAAAAGGGATCATAGTTTAAGATAACCTAGTTTATAAGAGAAGAATCTCCAAGCCTCTGATAATAACATCAAAAGGGTGTTCATCATTTGCTCTAACTGATGAACATGGTATGTATGCACACTCTTGCCTACAGATACACGCAACTAACAATAATAAAATTCTTGATTCTTTAGACATCTCGGATAACCTGCATGCCTTATCACCTTGGTTTTACTCAACTGCTGATCAAACAGTCATCTTTTCCTTCCTGACAACAGCCTCAGGAACGCCTTCGCTCTGCAGTTCTGCTCCAGTGAGTTTTACTCAAACATGTAACTGCTTCTATTGGTTTAGTGCTGCTAGAGGGATGTAAGACTGGAATCAGCATCAGATATTGATCTCACAGTTAATTAACTTCTATCCTCAACTTAGCAGCTCTAATTAATGAGGAACATGCTAACAGAGAAATGCTGTTTGTGATAGATGTGTATTTGAATATTCAACATTTTACTTGGAGGGAACAATCTGGTAAATGCTAAATTGCTTTTCTTTGCTTTAAGTACCATTTCTGATCTCATTCCTAATGAAAATCTTAAAAATTAACAACTTTGTTTTCATTTAAATCTGTTTGCATTCAGTGTGTTACATAAGAGTATTTTAAAATGTTTGTAAAAAAATAAAAGTTGTTTATTACAGTACAAACTGTGAAATCCATATTAATAAAGTGTCTTAAAAAGTCTATGGAAATGCATATTTTAAAAACTATGCATGAATTTGAAAATATTTCTGCAGTGAGACACACATCATATAAATGTAAACACCCTTATAGACTAAGCAAGGATTGATTCATGCAGTTGTGAAGGCCAAAGTGTCCCCGATCTGGCCTCTGAAAGTTGCAAACCAAGCAGATCTAGTGAGACAGTGCAAAGGCCTGAGAAGAAGAAAGAAACAGGGCCATGTGTAGATTCAGTTGTGAAGGCCAAGCAATGAAAACCAGGAATGAAAAAGGGCAGGGTAGCTTCCAGCCAAGTAGCTTAGTAGCTTAAGCTTAAGCTTCCAGTAGCTTAGTGGCTAAATCCTCGCCTTGCATCTGCTGGGATTCCATACGCATGCCAGTTCATTTCCTGGGTGTTCAACTTCCCATCCAGCTCCCTGATTGTGGCCTGGGAAAGCAATAGAAGACGGCCCAAAGCCTTGGGGCCCTAAACCCACATGAGATACCCAGAAGAATCTCTTGACTGTCTTGACTGCTGGCTCCTAGCATGAGATCAGCTCAGCTCTGGCCATTGTGACCACTTGGGTAATGGACCAGCAGATGGAAGATATTTCTCTGTGTCTCTCCTCTCTGTATGCCTGACTTTCCAATAAAATAAATAAATAAATAAAAGGGCAGGGTAAATTGCACCCAGCCCTGCCAGGCCGAGTGAATGCAGTCTCCCAGCAGGTTCACCCTGCCTCATCATCTGTCTGTGCATCCTGGGGCACAGGAATGCTGACTCATCAAATGAGCCACTACAGCATATTATGTATGGAAAAGCCCCAAACCACATGTTTTTTGAAGAGTTATGCTACACAATATACAAGCAGAATATCCCACTGGTGTTCGGTGAGTGACTCTCGATGCACTGTGTTATTGCATTGCCTCTCATGACCAAACCACAGAGGAGGGTTGTTTTGTTTCAAGGTTTTAAGGAACTTGTTTCTGTTTTTCTTGTTGCAACCAAATTGTTTAAATTCCGCAAGCTATGAAGGCCTGAATCAGACTCAAGAAAGGGAATCTCACTGTACCCGTGTCTCCTTCACAATACAGGCCTTGGATTGTTATGAATTACATATAGAGGTGTTTGCAAAGAAAGCTGGAAATCAGTGGAGAAAACACACCCAGTGAATCACGTCTCTGCACACTGCCAGGAACAGCCCGACCTACTCATGTGTCTTCCAATTTCAAAATGAGTTTTCTATTTGAAACAACTTGGTATTAACACAACTTGCAGCACACATGGCAGGATTTATGTTGATTCAAACAGATCATGCTCAAGTCGCTCCCATTCTAGACATGAGTCTTTCTCGTCATGAGAGCATTTTGCATAATGCCCCAATGGGCTCTGAAACAACACAGTGAAAATCAGAGGGCATTAAATCGCATTATACTCAGAGCTACAGATGCCACAGCCATTAATGGGCTAAGGAGTTCGCATGACACTGTTTTGGGTGTGGACAGAATCTTTGGCCATGCACACTGTGGAGACATATCTTTTTCAGCCCATGGAAGATTTCTCATCCCCACAAGCCAGGTTTGATGAATTTCCCAGCTATGTCCCAAGATGCTCCAAGTGCTCCTTAGTACTTTAGGAATCCCTTTGCGCCAGTACCCAATTCCTGAGCTGAATTAACTTCTCAAAGCTTTCAAAACAGAGACATGATTGGAGACTCTGAGGAGTCAGTATTTGAACCAGTGTTACGGTAAATGACCACACTGATCATCTCTGTCTTTGCCTTCTCACTCCAAGTGCAGTTTCTTATTTCTGCCCCTTTTGAAAGGTATGTGGTGCTATCTATATTATCAACTATTGCGCAGTAAACACATTAGACACTGGACTGAGCATTTTATATTCATTTTCTTTTTCAAAAAGTATTACACCATCCTTTTAACATGGCTAAGAGTAATCATTCTTTTTAGACTACATAATTCAAGTTGTATGCAGTTACTCAGTGACACAGAAGTGGCAAAACAAAGGCTTATATATTAGTGATAGCTTGGAGAATCACATTGGAGGAAGTTCCTCAGAGAAACACAACCAATCAGGTGCAGATGCATTTTAAACTGTTATGAGGAACTGACTCATTCAGTTACAAACGCTGAGAAGGTCCACAATCTACTCCTGCAAGTTGGAGAGCCTGAGAGGCTGGTGGTATAGTTCCAGCCCAGGTCCCCATGCTGAGAGATAAAAGAACCGGGGGTGGAGACTCTAGGCCAGATGTGGGCAAAACCATGTCTCAGCTCGAGATGGTAGACAGGAAGCAAAAAGGATGACTTCCTCCTTTCTGTTCTATTTAGGCCCTCGATTAATAAGTGATAGATACTCACCCCGGAGAGGTATCCGTTGATTCAAACATGCCTCCTCTGCCAACATGCGGCCAAGACACACCCAGAGGCATATCAACCATTGGTGCCCCTTGGGATAGTCAAGTTGGCATGCAAACCCAGCCATCCAAGCTCCACTGTTAGGACTTCTCTCAGTTCCTTACAGAGTTGGCATTGCTGATGTCACTGTTACAGTTCCTGCAGAATCCAGAGAGCTTGATCAACACTGGTTTGCTTCAGGCAGGTCATTACTGCCATCCCCAGCACAGCTGGATCTCAGTCTGTCAGCTGAGGTTGTGACCCGTGCATGCTCTGCAACCTCAGGACAGTAAACATTGACAGTAATTCTCTCCGACCATGGGAGTCCTCCCTGTGAGATCCAGGAAAGAACCAGCCTGCATTCCACCTGTTTAGACTCATACTAGCCAGTGTCAAATCTCCAGTGCATCTTGTAGTTACCCTGTGGAACTGGAGCAGTGTCCTCCCCATTGTGGGAGCAGGATTCCTGGTGCTAAAAGCCCCAGCACCACTTGCACTCTCCCAGAAGAATCTTGGGGTGACCACATCCACACCCCACTATCCTAGAGTCATAGTTAATGGTGCCACAGACCCCACCATCACTCAAGCTTGCTAGTGAGACAAGGAAGCAGCCCCCTCAATGTTCCCACGCACCAAGAATGAGGCTCCATCTACCAAAAACTCTAGCGTGACTAACACTCAAGTTCTCACGGGACTAAAGGCACATGCCCTAAGAAGCCACACCTGACACAAATTTGCATTTCTACCTCCAAAACTGCTGTAGACCAGGCAACCGTGTCACTTGTAGTCACTGCTAATACAGACTGAAGTGAAAGAAATGGCTCAGAGGCCACACTTTTGGACTCAGTTAGAACCAACACCAAAGAAACACGTCAAGCAATTCTTTGACTCCATCTAAGCACACACAAAAACAAAAAAGTCTTTAACACAAAGCAGGATTAGCATTTACAAATCCTTTTTATCCAGCACTTACTTCTCAGAACAACATTATAAAATACATGTTTTATCGTCCCATAATGGACAAGCAGGTGGAAGTCAAGGCCCCGAGCTGAAGCAGCCATATCTGAGCTGAGGATGATGACTCATGCTGTAACCAAGTCCGACTTCTTTGCACTAACACAGCCTGTGTGCCGGTGCCACCCACACCCATCACATGACAAATGTTTATACTTTAGCACTCAACCTCAGGTAAAATCTTCTGTGAACTCTGGAGTTAAGAAACAAAGTCTCATGATTATTTTAATAAATTGATAAGAAGATGATTCATGTCTAAATTAAATTAGTGGATAATAAGGTCAAAAACTAGTATAAAAATAAAGGCAATTCTGCTGTGAGTATACAGATTTTAGGGAGAAAAACTTTATATTTTTATTATTAGAGTTTACAAATTCTGTGTCATAAGTTCTTCAATCAGTTCCTCATTATAAGTATAAAACATATTGAAGGTTTGTTAATTTTCTTTTATACGATGACATATTTTCATTCTAACTTAATCTGCTTTTCTCATTCTCTCACTCATGAATTTCCCTTAGCCCAGAGCACTTATTCCTGGTCCTGCTATGAGATCCATTAAAATAACAGTTATTGGGGCCAGAGCGGATGCACTGGTTCCTGTGCTGGCTGCTGTGTTCTGTCCTGTGCTGGGCATGTGATCCAGTCCTTGCACCCATTAAGGTCACCTCTAAAATGCTGCCTGCTCCTGGCTTCAGCATGCGCAGGCCCTGGACATGTGTAGCCGTCTGTGGAGTGAACAAGAAGATGGAAGGTAGAGGGTATGTGTGTGTGTCTGTGTGTATCCTCATCTCTATATAGCTCTTTCAGATAAAGAAATATATCTATAAAAAAAATAAATTTATCAGATTGGGGAGATAAAGGGGCTTTGGAGATTATATAATTCTCCTTTGAATGCTATAACAACTAGAAATCTTAAGTGTGGTAAAGGCCAGAGGGGAGATTCATAACAAACTCAGGATTTCATGGAGGAACATAATGTACTTCTGATGCATTCAATATCCCTTCAAAAATTTCTTACCTAAGAAGGGCCAGGACCCAGAATATGTGTGTCCCCCATTACAAACTTTTGATCTGAATGGAAGAAAAGGCACACTGCTTCATCAGGAGATAGAAGATTTCCCTTGGTGGTAGACACATTTATCCTTAGTTACAAGCAGTAAAAACATCATTACCAGGAATAGAAATAATACACAAATATGATGTGATATAAAGCATAAATCCTGTGTCAATCAGCATCTTAAAATATAGAGGAGTTGGTTGAAGAGAAAAGACAGAAAGTCACTCTGTGGCCTGGAGCAGAGACCTAGCTCCAGGAAAGTGCAAGATGCAGGCAGGGTCGCACACCTGCACACCCTGCAGCTCTGAGATTTCACTAAACCCCAAATCAAGTCTATGTTCGGGATTAGGGGAGAAAGGCAGGGATCATTGCTTAATGGCAAGGCAACAAATCATTTGCAGCTACACAATAACGGTGACAAATGGACGAGTTCCAGTTTATCAGTAAAAGTGCGGGGAAAAAAATCAGCACGTTGTCATCCCAGAGCAGACTCATTTAAGCATGGAATCAATCATCTAAACTGGGATCAATCATGTAAGCATTCCAGTAAGTGGCTCTCCGAACGGTACCCCAAAGCCCGTTCACATTCTCTGACAGGCTGCCACGCATCTGCCATCAATTCATTTACCTGATCTCTTCTTGAATCTATGTCTTTCGACATGACCTTTCTGGGAAAAGACTTCAGTATGTTTACAATCACTTTCAAGTGTGAAAGGCAACCCTTATTCTGATAATTAGAGATCAAACATTGATACGGAAGTCACTGCATACACTTCCTTCAGCATGGCTCAGACTTCAATTACCTCAGCTCGCAGCCTGTCGTCTGAGGCTAGCACCCTCCTTTTTTTTATTTTCTGTGCATCATTAAATGGAAACTGGCCAATCCCATTTCATCTGCAGCTCTATTGAAATGTCTATCTTTTTAAAATGGGATCATTTACTGGAAAACTACTAAGAATCTATTTTAAAGCTCCTTTGCAAAGACTGGAACTCTACATGCTATTCCAACACAGTGACATGTCCAGTAAGACCCAAAATATTTCCTCTATATGTTCTCTTTTAGTTTTTGTTAATATTGCACACGGTTTATATAAAGTTGGTATAGAGTAAGTCATACTAACAAAAGGCCATTTGCTCATACAGGCATTTCTTCCCTAAAGAATCCCTACCTTTATCCATGATGCCCTATACAACACTACATAAGTTTGCTAGCAATTTTGGCTAGTACTTTACTGATATTTAAGTAAAATATTTTGAAAAAAAGAGACAAACTTTTAGGGAATATGGCCCTGATGAGATTAATATGCATCGTGATATTCATATCTGTCTGAAATAGAATTGCCATCAAGCATTGCTATATTCAGGTGTTCTGTCCCCAGGTTAAAATATAACATGAAGCCACACCCATATTTATCAGATGTTATCAATGAGACCAGCAAGGCAGAGCTGAGTGTTTCGATGAGTAAAGATGAGGTTGTAGGCCAACACACCTACTGACTTCTACTCAGTCCATAAGTAATATAGCATTGTACAATGAATATAGAGTGAAAGCAAGCTCCAAACACTAATCCAAGGCATTAAGTTGGAAACAGAGGCCTGATTACAAAACTTTGAGGTCAATGTTCGTGATACTGGGAAGCTTTTCCATAGCCACTGACTCAGTGGAAGGGAAAAATCAGCTTTGCAGCTGCAAATAGAAAAGATATCCACACTGACATGGGAGACACAAGTGAAGGTCCTGGCCTACTGACTTAAACCTCACCCTGCCCTAGTGATAATTTCTAAACATAATATCTACAAATATATTCTGATAAATAATATCTGCAAATAATATCTACAAGCATATTCTGACAAAATATTAAAAATTAATTATTATGTTTCTTCAATATCTTGCTTTTTGAAAAATACATACTAAATGAATAGAAAGGCATAATCAGGTAACTGCTTTACAGTTTCTCTTTGTTCCCTTAGGATATAACAAATACCATTTCAGATATTGTTTTTAAACTGTTCCAGCATGATTTTACTTCATTAAGTCTTCCCAGACACAGAAGAAACAAATTTATACTTATGCCCCATTATCAATGCATTCATCAAGTACAAACTAGGCTCCAGCCATCCTAACAACAGCAATTGTTCTATAGAATCTCCAGATATCGACAGTTTGTTGATAACATCAGACATCTACAAAATAATTTTGAAGGACGAGTACTGTGGGGTATCAGGCTAAGCCTCTGACAGCAATGCCAGAATCCTGTGTGGGCACTGGTTTGTGTCTCAATTGCTCCAGTTCGGACACAGCCCAATGCTAATGCCCTTGGGACAATAACAAAAAGCCGTCCACTTGCTTGGACCCTGAACACATGCGGAATCCTGCTGGCTTCTGGCTTTGTCCTAGCCCCATCCTGGCTGATGTGGCCATTGGAGGAGTGAACCAGCAGATAAAACTCTCGCTCTCTCTGTCTCCAGCTCTCCCTCTTGGAAGCATTTCAAATTACAAAGTTAAATTTCAAAAAAAAAAAAAAAAAAATTTGCACATGAAATTATTTCAGTATAAGTTCAACTGACTCCTGTGTAGATTTAAAATATATGTAAATAGGGCCTGATGCGGTGGCCTTTTTGATAAAGTCCTCACATTAAAAGTGCCGGGATCCCATATGGACACCAATCCTAATCCCAGCAGCCCCACTTCCCATCCAGCTCCCTGCCTGTGGCCCGGGAAAGAAGTCGAGGACGGCCCAAGGCCTTGGGACACTGCACCCATGTGGGAGACCCGGAAGAGGCTCCTGGCTTCGAATTGGCACAGCACCGGCCATTGCGGTCACTTGGGGAGTGAACCATTGGATGGAAGATCTTCCTCTCTGTCTTTCCTCCTCTCTGTACATCTGCCTTTCCAACAAAAATAAAATAAATCTTTGAAAAACAAACAAAACATTCATGTGAATAAATCACTGTAATAAATAAGACAATTGAAATAGTTTAAGCACATTATTTGGACAATGGTTGTATTCACACGCTTTCTACAATCATCCTGTGTAAGCCTGGTTAAAAAAAAAAAAAGCATTTTTTACTGCATAAATGCATGGGT